AAAAAACTGATATGATCTAAGGGCGATGGTGATGATGCTGCTGGCTGCCAATCACGTAGTAGTGAAATACATTTTTTAAAAACTAGTTTAAAAACTAGAATTGCGCATTGACCATAAACCATTGATGGCGATTTCTTATTTCAATGAAACTCAAGCTGTTCACTATCATATCGTTTCTATAACCTTCTCGGGTGCTTACTGCTCACTTTACCCTACCCACACGCATCATGGTGGTGATGGTGTTTACAATCACATGTGCTTACTTGATTGGCAATTCAAAGTAAAATGTAAATGGAAAGGAGTGAAGATATCATGTGATGACACAATCAACTGCTGATTTGTATCAGCACCCGACACAGTTTTATTCACTGACTAACGAACTTTTTTTAGGCGATGCGAAAATCAGACAGGTCAACTGTCTCAGGTTACTTTCTCGCTGGACGTTGGATGGTATTAAAATTTAGTAATAGAAATAAATTGGTTATTTATTTACATTTTTTACTTTTTAGACGTGGTTGCCGGTATGTCTAAAAGTTATTGCAAGTGATTTGATGAAAAAATGTCGAAAATAGGTTGGCGCTTCTGTCTTTGCGAGCAATATTGGGTCTGAGCACTTTATCGGCTTGGCAGGATCTGGAGCTTCAAGTGGTATCAGTGTGGCCGCTTTTGAGATTAATGTTTGTATACACAAGCTTGTGGTTGTGCCAACTAAAAGTGACGTTTTTTGCAGGCGTTGTTGATTCTTCAACTCTGTGGTTGGGTGTTTCTTCCTGTGTTCATTGCATCAAAGGTACATGACCNGGTTGTGCCAACTAAAAGTGACGTTTTTTGCAGGCGTTGTTGATTCTTCAACTCTGTGGTTGGGTGTTTCTTCCTGTGTTCATTGCATCAAAGGTACATGACCCTTTTGTAAATGTTTATTGATTTATTGGTTTCTCTTGACAGGTGAACACTTTGCCTGGCTACATTTCAAAGAGGTTCGGAGGAACCCGCATTCAGACATACCTTGCCGTCCTGTCTATGCTCCTCTACATTTTCACCAAGATATCGGTTAGTAGACGCACTGAATCTGTCAGGTACACAGGCAAACTAAACCGAATTGAATTCTTTAGGTGAACCTCTTTTCGGGAGCAATTTTTATTCAGCAAACCATAGGATGGAACCTCTACCTGAGCATTGTCATTTTGCTGGCCGTCACCTCAATTTGCACGATCACCGGTGGGCTGACTGCCGTGATGTTCACAGAAACTGCCCAGGCGCTCATAATGATCCTAGGCGCAGGAACTGTTTCAGTGATGGGACTCATTGAAATAGGCGGCTTTGGAAATCTGTACTCGAAGTACATGCAGGCAGTGCCTAGCAAGGTGCCGCCGAACATGACGCAGTGTGCACAGCCAAAGAATGACTCCTTTCTCATGTTGCGCTCACTCTCCGACCACGACCTGCCCTGGCTGGGCTTCCTCATGGGCCAGACGCCGGCGTCCATCTGGTACTGGTGTGCCGACCAGATGATGGTAATTTTGTGAAGCATTTTCGGAAAAACAGTGATCCAACGGGTCACCACGTTGCCTGAACGTTTTTCCTTTTCTCTCCACAGCACTCGCTCTCTGTCTTTTGCCCTGTCAACATCTCATCTAACCTGTAAATAAACTTATCTATCTACAGGTACAAAGGCTGCTGGCAGCCAAATCACTCTCGCACGCCCAAGGGGGCGCCCTGCTGGCTGGCTACCTGAAGGTTTTGCCGCTTTTTCTCATCGTCATTCCCGGAATGATCAGCCGCATTCTCTACACCGAAGAGGTGGCCTGCGTCGACCCTGAAGTCTGTATGGCCTACTGTAACAGTCTCTCCTGCACGAACACCGCCTACCCTCGACTGGTGCTCGGCCTGATGCCCTCACCACTCAAGGGTCTACTCATGTCAGTCATGCTGGCGGCGCTGATGAGCGATCTGAGCTCCATTTTCAACAGGTAACATTACTTGACCTGTGCCAGCTGTCTGACCACTTGTACACACCTCTCTCTAGTTCGAGCACACTCTTCACCTGTGATGTTTGGCCGAGGTTTCGAAAGCGCGCTTCACAAGTGGAGTTGATGATCGTTGGCAGGTAAGTAAATGCACTAGCTTTCCAGCCAAACACACACAATCAATCATATGTTGTTCTTGCAGAGCATTTGTGCTGGTTATGATTGCCATTAGCATCGGTATACTATTTTTTTTGTAAATCAGTTCCAGTCTATTCACTGTTGTGTTCTTCTTAGCCTGGGTCCCAATCATCCAGGAGATGCAAAACGGCCAGCTGTACCTGTACATTCAGGATGCTGCATCAAACCTGGCACCGCCAATAGCAGCCGTCTACATAATGGCAGTGATCTTTAAGCGAGTCAACGAGCCTGGAGCGTTCTGGTCATTGATGATTGGTCTTCTCATCGGCCTTACTCGAATGATTGTGACGCTGTTCTACATGGAGCCCTCCTGTGGACAGGAAGACCTGCGACCAGCTGTCGTCAAAATTCACTACATGTACTTTGCCATTTTCCTGTTCTGGGTAACAGTGGCCATTTGTATAGTCATTAGTCTGTTCACGGAAGCACCAAAAGACTATCTAGTAAGTAGAGTTAGAAAAGAATGGATTAGAAATGAAACTATTGCTCTTGTGATTGCAGCTGGTGCGAACTACCTACTGGACCAGATTTGATGACTCCATTCGAGTTGATGAAACGGAAGAAGAGGAGAAAAAGAAGAAGGAGACCAATGGAACGACAGGAGTGAATGGCAATCACATTGAGGGCCTGTCCATTGAGCCTGAGCTGAAGAAGCCTCAGCACTCACTGTTGCGTCGATTCGCCACCTGGTTCTGCGGCATCAAGAGCACTGCCTCTGAGTCGGCTGATGATGATGACAAGGCAGCCACTAGCCACGAAACTCTGGCAAACATATCCTCCATTGAGCAGAACCCCAAGGCAAAGGCAGTGCTCTTTGTCTCGCTGGTCATAGTGCTCGCCGTTGCAGTGACCATCTTTGTGGTGCTTTCCCTTCCCGGCTGGTGGGAAGTCATT